ACTTGGAGAGAGCTGATGGCGGTGAAGGTGGTTCTTCAAAGCTTGGCTGGGGAGTTAGCCTCGCAGCGAGTAAAGTGGTTCACTGACAATACCAACGTTGAATCCATAGTGTGTAAAGGTAGCATGAAACCAGATTTGCAGGCTATTGCCAGATCTATATACGATGTGTGTTTATCTCATTCTGTGCATTTGGAAATGCAATGGGTCCCTAGATCACTTAATGATAAAGCTGACTTTTTGAGCAAGGCAATTGATCACGATGATTGGGGAATTTCGCAATATATTTTTAGAAATCTGGAGAAGATGTGGGGAAGATATGATGTCGACAGATTTGCTTCTCATTACAACGCAAAAGTGTCAACTTTCTGTTCAAGATTCTGGGATCAAGGATGTGTTGCAATAGACGCGTTCACTGAGCATTGGGGTGATACAAACAACTGGATTGTTCCGCCTGTGTCTCTTGTTTGTAGAGTTCTGGCTCATATGAAGGTTTGCAAAGCTAAAGGTACTTTGGTTGTGCCAGCGTGGTACTCTGCCAGTTACTGGCCATTGTTGTGTCCAAAAGGAACTTTCATACCTGAGGTGCTTGATTTCGTGTATTTACCCAGAGACAAGGAAGCTTATGTACCCAGCCGGATTCCAGGGGGTATGTTTGGTGAGAGAGACTTAACCTTTGACATGTTGGCAATCAATATGAAATACTGATTAACTTATTCTCTTTGCAGATGTCTTTGAGATTGCGTACGCTGAAGACATTCATAGCCTTTCAGGCCCAGGCAGAGAGTTGGTTAGTAGAATTCCAGAACTTTTGCAATTTGCACGAGCTGATTCAACTAATAAGAAATATGATTATGGAATGCAGAGGTGGTTAAAGTGGGCGAGAAGTAATGGTATGCCTGTACATTTTCCTATAAAACCTTTACATTGTGCCATTTACCTAGTGTCTGTGATGCAACTAAGCCATTCTTTTCGCCCGTTCATGCGGCTTTTTATAGCATTCGTCATGCTCATAGTATTATAGGCTTGCCCAGTCCTACTGATAATCTTCTGGTGAGAAATGTGTTGGAGGCTGCTAAGCGAAAGTTGGCTAAACCAGTGTGTAAAAAGAGCCTATATCTATCGATATATTAGAAAGTTTGGTTGATTTTTATTCGGATACAGGATGTTTGAAAGATGTCCGCATTGTGTCAATGTGCCTGCTTGCCTATGCTGGGTTCCTGAGATCTGCAGAGTTGCTCAGTTTGAGACGCACTGACATTTTGATTTATAAAGCTTATATGATGGTTTTCATTGAGAAATCAAAGACTGATATGTATAGAGACGGGGCATGGTTATTGATCAGCAGGACAAGTTCCAAGATGTGTCCAGTCATTTGGTTGGAGAAGTATCTGGCATTAACGCAGTTTCCCGAAGAATCACAAGAGTACTTGTATAGGAACATTTCCAAGTGCCATGATAGGTTTGTCCTTAGAAAAGAAAATAGAGCTATGACTTATTCTCGTTTGAGAGAGTTGTTTATTGAAACGTTTTCTCCTTTCGTTTCTGATATTAGACAGTACGGCTTACACAGTTTGCGTGCAGGTGGTGCTTCTGCGGCTGCTAACAGTGGCATCCCGGACAGGATGTTTAAGAGGCAAGATGGTTATGTCAAAGATTCTGTAGAGAACCGTTTGCGAGTGTCGCAGTCACTTGGCCTCTAGTTTGCCCGTTCTTTGAGTCTCGCGGTGGTGCACAGCATAGCCATCCAATGTGTGTTATGTTATTTGTTGTATTGTGTTGCAAGGGCTAGGAGAAATGATATTTTTATCGTTTGAGGGACGAATGAGATAGAAATTACTTTCTCCTAGCGTAGGGGAATACAACAAAGGGGTGTAATTCAGTCGTAGGTGGCGCCTAATGAGAGTATATAAGGCGTATGATATTTGAATTGTCATTCTCGCTTGTTGTGCACCAAGTATACATTGCGTCATGGATACTTCTGAAAAGTTTTGATATTGTACTTTAACCTATTCTAAATGTTTCAGGTCATTGTATGGCTCGGTGCCATGAGAGCAGCTCCTCGCTGTCTGCAGGCTCGTTGCTACAGGAGAGGCTCATCGCCTTTTGAGAGGCTTGTCGCCGTTGGCTATGCTTTGAGCCGATAGAGGCTTGTCGCCACTTGAGAGGTTTGTTGCCATTTTGAGAGGCTTGTCGCCGTTGGCCATGCTTGGCACCGATAGAGGCTTGGCGCCACTTGAGAGGCTTGTTGCCATTTTGAGAGGCTTGTCGCTGTCGGCCATGTTTGGTGCCGACTGAGAGGCTTGTCGCCGTCTGCTGGGCTCGTTGCCAGTTATATTGGTTTGTCAGTGTCTCTGAGAGACTTGTCGCCTGCTTCCGTTGAGGCTTGTACATATTTGTAAATATATATAAACCGCGGTGGTGCACAGCATAGCCATCCAATGTGTGTTATGTTATTTGTTGTATTGTGTTGCAAGGGCTAGGAGAACACATGTTGAGGGAAAATAAAAATGTAAAGGGTATTAAACTTCTTGATATTGAATATTTATTAACGCAATTTGCAGACGACACAACACTTATTCTTGATGGAACGGAAAAATACTTTCAAGCAACCTTGGGTTTACTTAATCAACATGCTGAATTTTCTGGCCTTAAAATAAACATAGAAAAAACTACAATAATATGGATTGGTTCTATGCAATACTCAAGCATTCAATACTGTAAGACTTTCAAACTAGATTGGTCCCAAAGACCCTTTACTTTACTCGGAATTCGGTTTCAACACAACCAGGCTGAAATGGTTGAAAGAAATTATAAAGACAAACTAAAACAAGTTGATAAGACAATGACGATGTGGTTAAGAAGAGACCTTACTCCATTTGGCAGAATTACTGTTCTTAAAAGCCTTATATTGCCTTCCCTAAACCATCTTTTCACTATGTTGGCAAATCCAAGAAGTAATACCATTCAAAATCTACAGAAAAAATGTTTTAAATTCGTTTGGAAAGGAAAACCTGACAGTATATATGGGCAAACGACAATATTACCGTAGGTCAAAAACCTATTATTTATAAACATTACTTGAAGGGAAATGTTAAATTCATCAATGATCTACTGAAAAAAGATAGTAATTTTCTTACCTATGAAGAGTTTATTTCCCTATATAATATTAAGACAATTGTTTTAGAATATAGGGGTATCATTAACTCCATAAAATCCTACTTACTTTCGAAAGAACTAACTCTGTGTAAAATAGAGGAGCCATTTATTCCTAATAATATACATATGCTCTATAAAGAATGTAAAGGGTGCAAGATTTTCTACTCTGTCTTGCTAAGGAAACATACAGTAAAAGAAAAGCTACATAGTCAACTTAAATGGGAAAGGGATATCAAGGTAGATATATCAGAACAACTCTGGAAAGTTTTTAACTATGTACCTTTCAGAACAACTTGTAATACACAATTCAGATGGCTTCAATATAAAATTGTCCAAAGAATCATTACAACAAACAAGGATTTATTTAACTATACTGAGTCAAAAAAGAAACTTCACAAAATGTAATTTGAAAAATAATGAATAATTTGTCTCTGATCTATGTATCCGAAATGGGATCCCTATCTTTCGACTCTAGAAAAACGTTAGCAAAACCCACTCAAACCCATCCATTTGTCGTGCAAATGATGTTAGTGCCAAATAAGGTTTTGCACGTGCAGTCGATCACTTGATCTTCGCATCGAAGTTTTCTTCATATGCACGTGTTTGCATTGGCCTCAAGAATTGAAAAAACACTTTTAAACCACAGTTCTAACGGTACTTGAAATGCCACGATTGTCAAATGTGCAACGTGAACGTGCCGTTGGCTTGTTGCAAGCGAGAAGATCAGTTATTGACGTCGCAAGAGCAATGGGATGCAGCCGTCGTACTGTGTATGACTTGCGAGGTCGTCTACAACAAACTGGCACCACTTCTGATCGCCCAAGGTCGGGTCGTCCATGTGTGACGTCACGAGCAGAAGACCGTCAAATCGTCCTACGTCACCTACGTGACAGATTTCTGCCGGCTACACGAACCAGGGCTGAGATGATTAGAGGTCGACTGTCCTCACAGACCATTCGAAATCGGTTGCGGGCTGCCAATCTCCATTCTCGACGTCCATATCGTGGGCCAATATTGACGCCGTTTCATCAACGTCAACGTCTGCTGTGGGCCGAACGTCACCTCCGATGGACCCAGAGAGACTGGAATCGAGTCGTCTTTAGCGATAAATCCAGGTTTACCCTCAGATTCGCGGACGGCAGGCATAGAGTCTGGAGACGACGTCGTGAACGGTATGCCCAATGTTGTGTACAGGAAGTCGACAGATTCGGGGGCGGAAGTTGCATGGTGTGGGGTGCTTTCTGTGGGAACAACCATTCCCGACTTCTGGTCATCCATGCAAACCTCACAGCTGCTGCTTACCGCGACCAGGTGCTCACCGCTGAACTCGTTCCTTTCATGGTGGCTCATGGCCCAGGTCTACAGTTCCAGCATGATAATGCTCGGCCGCATACCGCGATGTTGACACGAAATTTCCTTCAAAACGCTGGAATCAACGTCATGGACTGGCCATCGAGGTCCCCTGACCTTAATCCAATAGAGCACGTTTGGGATGCACTTGGGAGAAGGCTTCATGGTCTTAGGAACCAACCTCAGAATTTGCAGGAACTTGGCGCTGCCTTGCAAGAGCAATGGCGCAGAATCCCCAACCACGTGTTCACAAGCATCAGGCAGTCGATGAGGAGATGGTGTTTGGAAGTGGTGAATGCGCGGGGCGTCCATACACGATATTGAACTGAAATTTCGCATTTTTATTCTTGTGACTTGACATTCAGTATACCCATGTTTTGGAACGGCGGTGTAGCCTAATGGAACTGATTATGGCACTGTCAGTGTATCGAGTACATCACACAGATCTCAGCACTGAAATAATAACAATTTAACCATCTTACCAACTCTTGTTCTTTTATAGTGCCCTGAAGAAAGAATGTGAAGTTTCTTTTTTTGACTCAGTATATAAACTGACACAATCCGCTTCTTGTTCATTCTGTAAGGTTAATATGGAATCAATTATCCACGTATTTGTGAATGTGTAGATGTGAAAACGTTGTGGCAGCAACTAAAAGCCTGGATTGAACAAGAAACAGGCACAAAATTAACTCTGGATGCAAAACATATCATCTTTGGATATAAAGAAAAAAAGAAATGATGTACTAAACCTTATTATCATCGCAACAAAATACTATATATATGCAAAGAGATGTTCCAATTCGCACCCACAGATTGCTGGATTAAAAAAATTATCAACACACCTTGTATGAAATTGACAAATGTGCTGCCTTTTCGCACTGCAACTATGGTAAATTCTTCACCTTTTGGTCATCTTGCCATAACCTCTTCACATAAATTGTAACAACAAATGTATTCTTATAGCCTACGGATTATCTACCACACATGTCCTTGTTTTATAATATTTACATGTACCACAAATGCATAAATTATGTTCCCATTATAAAGAAATAAATTGATAAAAAAAGTTTTCACCTGCAGCGGCATATGGCCATTTAATCCAGAAATATTCAGTGATGACGATTTTGCAGCGTCGGCTATCACTGAGGTAACCGGAACCCCAACTTGTCCAAGCAACCCTCACCACTTGAGATACCAGCGCCAGGGCCAAGCAGAGAATTCGATGTGTTGCCACATGAGAATCCACAGATCAGCTCAGAAACAGCAGACCTGAAACAGACGAAGTGGACACACCGCCAGAGAAGCCGTCTGAACACATCGCTGTTCCAGACTCAGAAGTGAACGCAGGGACAGATGTGAGAAGAAACATTGCAAGTTTTGCCTCCACTACCACAGAAACGAAAGCCTCGCACTCTAAAAAGAAATCTGATTCCTCTGCAGCGGTAACGTCATCTTCTTTCAAGAAGTTGATGGAGGATAAAGGCAAGAAAACTACAACACAGAAACGGAAGAAACAAAGAAAACTGAAAAAAGGGACAAAAAGGACATTTGTGATCTTTGTCATTAACAAAGCATTGAGAGACTCAGACCCATATATTTTCCGCAAGTTAATTATGTTGTTTATTGTTCGCTGAACATTGGAATAATTATTACGGTTTAACGTTTCATTTCTGGGGATTTTGACTGAATTTTTCCCTCATCTGTTGAAATAGAATATCGAGATTGTTAAAATGGGATTGGTGAGATGGTCGAGGAGGATGGCAGGGTCATGGTTAGGATCTAGGATGGTGAAGGTGTAATCCGGGGACACCTCACTGTGCCTGCACCTATTGTTCGAGGTAGAGGTTTAGTCGGCCGTGGTAGATAGTTAACAATAGGGGGATTAACTATAGTCTGTTGCAGTAAATTAGACCTCAACTCCTGAAATACTCTGTTCACATAATTTATTCATGTACATCCATATAACAACATCTATAACATAACATATTTTTTCACTGGACAATCTATCCATTTAGAGAATGTATTTTCTGTTTACATAATTTACTTATATACATGCCTACAATAACATGCGCATTTACAAACCCCAACCAAATGCGACACAGCATCAGCATATTCTATGGCACTTTTCCTGGTCAACAAGTCCTTTTTTTCATTTTTCATTTTTGTGTCGAGATTCAGGTACTTTCGTCTCTTTGGTGCCAGGTTAGCACATGGCAAAGGTACCGTCGCTGAAGTAGTTATCTGCCATGGAGAAGTGTCTCATGTTGTCAGTGGTTGTAAAGATGAGCATCTTTTCGTCTCGGTGAAGTAGGAATTAGTCGCCAGACGAGGTTTGAGTGTAGAATGGAAGAAGTTGTACGTCAGATGAGGTGCGGGGAAGTAGTGGGAATTCTTTTGGCCTTGACCGGTACAAACTGGCCTGTACACTGTAGTTAGTTGGCACATCTTTGATCACATCGTCTCCTTCATTGGTACGTAAGCCTGATAAATGAACAATATATATGTATATATCACAACAAATATATGCACACTCACACACAAATAGTGATGCAATTTTAGGGTTTTGGTGAATTATGGAAGTATAATTAATCAAATAACATATTATTTTTTAAATTCAACTTACCCATCAATTCTTCTTTGTAGATTGTTGGAACAGGCTTGCTCTCATTTCGAACTTGTTAGATTTCAGGTTGGATAAGAATTCCTGAATTACAATATCTTTGTCGTCTCCAGTGTGGTTGTGAATATCACGATATTTTGTGACAGTTCTTTCTACAGCAACGCCAATGCACACTTGTGTTTCTCTTGCTCTTAATTCTAAATCTGTGACCATTATGAGCAAGGTTCTGTCCAAACCGAACATTTACTTGCACATTTGCCATTTTGCAATGACCAGTTTCAAGCAATTTATATGCATGACAACACTGGCACTTACCACTCAAAACTACTCACTTATAAATATATGATTTTAATTAATGACATTCTTTTAAAGTGTTCATCCAACGGGTAGCCATTATAATTTGACATTAAGTAAACAGTGTTCACTCTGTGAGAATAGTTCACCGGCACATGCCAACTTTAATTAAACAGGCTATAACCAGAAATGCAGTGAGCTGTGGCCTTTAATCCCTTGTAACAACATACAGGGTACAGGGACCTGTCTTCCATCTATCTGCTTTTGTCAATTCTCTTTCATCTCATAATCCCGTTTTTTTTATAGACATGCTTAAATTCACTCTGGCTTCATGTACATTACGAGTATATATACTCTTCAAAAAAAAAGGAACTTGACATAGGACAAAATTGAATTTTAGGAAAATATTTGACACAAACCATTCCATGCTGAATCCCAACATATGGGGGAATGGTTGCCGACGACAAAACGTTAGCAAAAAGAAACTTTGAACAAAAACGTAACGTTACACTCACGTCTGTAGTGAATCACTAAAACGCACCCTACATGGAATGCACGTGCATCATGAAATTGTGTATCACCATGAGCTGAAGCCTATGACTGTAGACTTTAAAAAGCCACATCAATAGTACTCGACATGCATTTCTTTAAGCCACTATAGACGACAAGAGAATGAAAAGACTGACAGAAGCACATCGACACAACGCCGTTTACAAGACACTTCAGCGTGTCCAGACAGACCATCTCAAACCTATGGACCCGATACAATAATACTGGGAGTGTTAATGACAGACCCAGGTCAGGTCGACCTAGAGTTACCACCGCCGCCCTGGATCACTACATCCGGTTGAGACATCTTCGTTCAAACACCACAGCCGCATCATCCACAACAATCCAAATCCCTGGAATGCGTCGAATCTCTGACCAGACAGTGCGCAATTGGCAATGGGAAGCCAGACGTTTTGCCAGAAGACCAGTTCAACGTCACGTCATTCCCTTCATCAACGTCAGCGGTTGATCTTTGGAGCATGACAATGTTCGACCTCACGTTGCACGTGTTTGACAGGACCAGCAATACAATGTTCAGGTGTTATCTTGGCCTTCTCGATCACCGGATTTGTCCTCCAATTTGTCCCCCATTGAACATCTACGGGGTACTCTTGATTGACGCTTGCGCTAGCGTAATCCGCCACCTCAGACACTTCAAGACACACCAAACTGTTATCGATGCTCATGGTGGCCACACCAGATACTGACATTTTACTTTGACCAAGTGGAGCAGTATATACACTGGGGGTACGAGATCACTTTTGCCAAAGGCCCCTGTAAGCTTTATTTCATAGATAAAGCCTATATCAGGCCCGATCTCTTCCCCCAATGTATATACCACTTCCTGGTCACTATGACTGCGAACCAACACCTCCTGGCCAACCTACATCATGTTGACCTCGACGAAACAGTGTAATGTGAATCGCCTATAATCTCTTTGGTCTTCGTAATGAAGGCTTGCCGGGCTTGTTGTACCCCTTGTTCTACGTACTTTTATTTCTCGTCTTCGCTGACGGCAGTCTTACGAGACTTGGACCGGATCTCTTGCTTCATCTCGTTGTACTTGGTGAGTTCAGAGAGGACCAAACGAAAGTCCTCCTCGGAGACTTTACTGTCAGTAAGTGCGGTGGAGATGTGGTCGCTTACCGTGTTCAGCTTTGCTTCAGCCAGAACCCTGATCTCGTCATGTTTCAACGCTTTACGATGCAGTCTGCGGGATGCAAACTTAAACACCAACCCCGCCAACCCTGACATCCCAGCTGTTATTTCGATGCCTAGCACTATGGGTGCGGCTACGATGGTGGCCAACAACCTGACACCTACCGCCCCTAGTCCCATGCTGGTTGTCATAAGGGCGGTATCAACCCCATCCACGACATTGAAAGCCCTATGGTACTTCTTGCATAACGCTGTCCGTCTGTCGCGGTCTTGTTCTAGTTGGCGTTTCATGTCGCATAACTGTCTCAAGCGGAACCCGTCTACGGTTTCCAGTGTCTTCACTACTTCTTCTACGACTGGGTACAGGCCCATCCTGTGTGCATATAATATATCTTATGAGATATGTTTTAATTGGTCTTCATTCAATAGGCGATCAATGTACTCGAGGCTTATAAGGCTTAGATTCTCCTATAGGAGGATACGGGAAAGGTCAATAAGTAACTTCTGGTCTATACTAACCCACGGGGGGTCGATTGAGGGGAGTAGTAGGTCCCATTCAAGTTGTATGACGATACGGCAACGTGTGGGGGCCTGCAACACTGTGTCGTCCCAGTGTACTGTCACCCCAGGTGGAAGTTGCAGCGCCTCCAAGAGCGACTTCTATGATGAGTGTGGAGCCTGGTGCCATAGTCATAAGACCTGATAGGGCATCAGGTGAGTCGGCCCTTAACTCTGACTCCACGGATGAAACTAACATAGTGCCCGGGTGACCTGGTATTTGGAAAACCATCACCCCCTCATAACTCGGAATGAAAGACGTGAGGACTAAACCGTTGTTCCTAATTTTGGTGACATGTCAACTTTCGTTTAAAGAGATGTAAGGTGCGGTGAGGGTCACGCTGATCAACTTTTTGGGTTCTTTAAAGTCTGCCAGGGGCACCCGCCTATACACATTGTCTTCTAAGCGTAGACGTACAAGGCGCCTTCCTCGCCGTACCAATCGAACCCCTCTGTGTCTCCTAGGTCGCTAAGCGTGACTGGTCATTGCTATATTACTATTACAAGATAGTTTCCAACTGTCTTTCTGATAGTAGTTCAGGGGTGCACCTCACCCCCATGAAGTGTATGTTGTCGGGTAGGAATATCTTGGTGAGTGATATTGTGTCTTCCACGGTCACGGTGACCCCCTGCAGACTGGTGTGGGAGTCGGCACCCACCCGCACGTAAACAGTGCAAACGTGATACTGGTGTTGTTTGGCCCACCGGAGTTTGATTCCTTTCATGACTTCGACTTCGCGCTGCAATGGTTCCCCTAGGTAGACTTGGATGACCAGCGTGGAATTCGCCGGTAGACTCTCCAGAATGTTGACCACGCCTTCGAATTCAGACACCACCTGCAACCCCACGTTTTGCACCCCGGGTTTACTCGATAGCATGTGGGCTGCCATACTGGAGAGTGGGCTGATGACTACACTACGCCTCTGCGTCGGAATGTAAGCCACGAGCAGGGTTCCATTGTTCACGACTTTGTTTAGGTAGTTGTCTTTGTTCTCCGTGAACACGTAGGGGGAGCCGAGCGTGATGTTGAGAAACCAGTCGACTCGAGAGGGTAACAACACACATCGGTGAAGACGAGGCTGTACTGCTTGATCGAGCAACGGTCGTGCTCTCGACATCTTCTAAGTCGAACAGCTTGCCGCCGAAAGATGGGTATACCGACCATCTATTATCACCGATGCGGACTAGGTCGAACCGAGTGTTGAGGGCCGCTCCTGAGGTATCGACTATATCACCTAGGGTACTACCAGAGGGGACTTCAATGCGTTTGTAAATGATGTTTTTAAGCTGTAAGGGGTACAGTCTACCCTCTACTCCGGGGTCGTCGAACCCGCGTGTGTCCACGAGGTCGGAGATCCCTACATTGACGCAACTTTTCAACCTCATTCCGGGTCCTTGTGCGCTAGTCATTTTATGTGCAGCGTTATGCTGAGGTATCCTATATTCACAGGATTATGCTTTATATCTAACACTGATATTACCAACTCCGGGATGGTGCCCCGAGTTAACCTCTTGTACTGCCGCAATGAAAACGACTCGGTTCTGCCGTCGTTGTACTTCTCCGTCTTCACCGATATGCCTCTCAGCAGCGTGGAAGGGCTTTCGACCTGAATGTTGTCCGTCGTGCTCAGCTGATTGAGATGAATGCACAGCTCGCGGTACGGGACTAGGTCGGGTAACTTCGTACCCATGACGGTGGTTGTGGGTTTTATCTCGTCCTCGGCCGAGCCTCAAGGGGTTTATTCCGTTGTTGGTTAACACCACTGTGCCATATGAGTCGTTCATCTTGAGTTCGGCTCCCACGGGTTTGAAGACTTCATCACTTAGCGAGCACACGCTGTAGTAGCTGTCGGTTATGTGGTTGCAGCCGCCACTGACGAACAGCGTGTTGTTGCTGTCGTTGATGTTGGTCCACCGCGGCAGGTAGGCGATATCGCAGAGGGCGGCTTCGAGGTGATGCGACGTGTTATCGATCGTGTGCATCAGTTGAACGGACTCACCGCTCGTTATTCCTGGAAGTGTCACGTACATATTAGAGTATATATACCACTATATAATACTTTTAACATGTACACCCCGGGAGTGTTTTACCCTA